GAGTGCAGCCCAATGCAACAAGTCTGCCAGCCTGGTATGTCCCATTAATTAATATTGAAGAGTCAGAGATGCGAGTGTCCTCAAAAGGACCTGCGCGTGCGGTGAATACAATTCTTGGTGTATAAACTCTCAAGGCGTAAAGGCAAGCGGAAATAGGTTTATCTGGTTAGTGTATCAAATATGTTTATTTCCACTGGATTACATAATTATTGATTCTTAGTTAATGGTTCCAGAACGAGTTCTTTCTGCGATAGTCTCCTGCCAGGCGTTCAGTCGTAATACCTGTGCACCTTGTTGTGAAATGACGCTCCTGGCACGTCAGTGTTAAGTCTGGTCGAGTAGCAACTTTGACTGACTCATGCCGTCTTGTAATCATGCGTCATGTGCACCCACTGACATCTGATGCACTGAAACTGCAGCTAGGGCTGGCTTCTAATCCGCAAAAGTTTCCTTATAGTTTTCTGCATCAATGCAGCAAGCTCGGGCATGTATTGGTTATGTGGCTGTGCCTTTTGCTGTACCGTTGACTTGATAGATGGCAACAATGCTTGTTTGCTATCCAAGCCATTTCACTTCCATTTCGTGATGGAGATTCATTCTGCATCCCATGACCACTGCAACTTGTGAAAGTCTTGCGTGGCAAAGTGAAGTCTCGTGATGCTTGCAGTCCAGTTTTGAGAGCAACCAACGATTCTATATCTTAAGATCACTGAGCGGCATTCTCCCTCAAAGTGTGAAATTGTGTGCTTCGTGGCGTGGACACAGATAATTAGTATAAGCAAATTATTAGGTATTGTCCTTGGACGACAACCGACACCAGATCAACTCTTCTTGCATTGCCGCTCACCTGCTTTGTCGTACTTACCTCCCGTCCCGATGAAGTAGATCACGAGCTTCGGGGTAATGTCGGCACCAGGGACAAAGAGCGCCGAAGATAATCCTCAATCTTCCCCGGACGCTCGTCGAGACGTGGTTGAGGGTCGTTCGGCACGAACCCTTGCAGGCCAATTCATTGGTACGGGCACCTCGAGTAGACATGGTCGGCCTCATGGAGCGATAGCAGAGCGGTTTTCGGTCGGCCATTCGCAGTACTCCCGTTTCTCTGGGTGTACTTTCTTCAGCGCGGACCTACACTGGTTCTTCCCGATGTCAGGAATGCTTCGGCGTTGGGGTGTCTCCTTGAATTGGCATTGAATAGTAACAAATAGCCGGTGGTGGTCGTTGTCACTTTGTGGCATAAGTCGCCCTCGGTTCGTCAGACGCCGCATCGCTCGAAGAAGACTCCAGTTGAAATGCCTGTCGAACTTTTTCTAAAACAATCTTGGCAATCAAAATAAAAGCCCGGCAACTGATGGCAGGAACTAGCTTCCCTATCTCCTCCTGGACACCATTGTGGATGATGTCACGGATGCCTGGGGGGCTGGCGTCGAAGTTGCAGCTAGACGACTCGAGTGTCGAGACGCTAAGGAGTTGTTGATAGTGACAGGCTTGGGCATGCAGTGTACATTCAATGTTGGAAGGCTCATTGATAAGAACCCTTCGACTGTTGTCGTGGGATTGCAGACAAGGCTGCCGAAGGTGTTGTCCCTCACATGAGGGACATGGGATTCTTAACCTCTTGCCTTCAATAGCATCAGGGTTGGTGTAGGTGCTCGATCAGAAGCAAAACATCCTCCACAAGGTGGTCACGCTCTCATCGGGGCCGTGTCCTGGACAAATTCAGGAATTCGGCTGTCTCTCGTCAATTTTGGCTGATGAACGTGCACTTCAGCTCGATCTTGCAAACTTCCCAGAACGTTAAGGAGGATTCGTGGTTCTCAAACCAGTGCCTCGCAGTTTCTTCCACGAGAATTATAGGTTCTGCAGGAGCTGGTTGTCTGTCCACCCACTGTGGCGGGTGACACAGCCATGTTGTTCAATCCAGCCCTCGACGTCTTATGCATCTTGCGTGAAAGGGCATCAGAGTGCGAGGTGCGACGGGCTTGCAAACGATGGTGGGAGCGGACACGGTTTGCTGCTCAGGTTTGTCATTGTTGGCTTAGTCAGCTTCGGTTTTTCCGGCAAAAGACCTAATTCCAATGGTTCTTGCTGGTAGCAGCAACTGGCTTGAATTTCAGGTGCTTCGTGGTGTATTTCCGAGGTACCTCCTTGTTGTACTCGCTCGTCTTGCGGTTTTTCTGCCGGGCTTGGGATAGGATTTGGTTCCCGGCTCGCCGGGGGTTTAAGACGCGGGATGATGTGCCACCCGTGTCTTGTTATCGGAGAAACTCGGCTGAGGAGCCGCCAGGTTCCACACAGAGTGAAAGGCTATGGGTAAAGTGCGTAGCACCTCCACCAGAACATACAATGACAGCTGAGCATGGCCTGGAACCTTCCAGAATAATAAATATTGATAGAAACTAGGACAGGAGCAAGCATCAGTGACAATATAACAAAACAGACAGAAGAGAGTCTATCATGACCACTAAAGAAGCTGCATTGCTTTAGTGGCATTCTGTCCGAATAAATCCTCTCCTTCGGGGTTTGGCGACTGCCGAGGATGAGCTGAACTGAAATGGATGTGGGACCACTTTTCTGGTAACGAGCCGCTGCAGACTGTCGTGGCAAAGCGGCGTGAACGGGTAGACTGGGTAGGATAACACGCGCGATGAAATGTCCATACAGCTTGCAATTCGCGTAACGAGTGTTGATGAAACTTTGGTGTCGACGAAACGTGCGAAAGAACAGCAGAATCAATACCAACAGCAACACCTGTGCTCCGTGAAAGTACACGTTTACGCCACAGCAATTTAGTAGGCAGCACAGCATCACCTAAAGGACGGCACAGGAACTACCAGCTTGAAGGCAGCTCTCCGGCGCGCCGCACACCTGTGCTCCGTGAAAGTGCACGTCTACGCCGGAACAATTTGGGAAGCAGCACAGCATCACTTAGCACGGTGCGGGAACTACAAGCGTCAAGTCAGCTCTCCGATGCACCGCACAACGAAAGTGGGCCTTCGGTCATTTGAACAAAGCGGCACCACGATTGCACACTGCCAAGCACGAATCATACGATTTCCGTCGCTAAACTGTGTATCCAAATATATTGCACACGCTTCACTGCAGATCTTGAAGGTTCCGATGGTCAACGCGAGCACGGAAACGTTGCCTTAAAATTTATCCTAGCACTGTCCGAATGAATCCGAAGTCCGAGCAACGAACGGCCGATTGTCTCTTTCGTGGCAACATCCCCGTCGGTCACCAGCGAAATGCACACCGTTCCTCCGTATTTTCACGTTATACCTACGTCAGACACCACGCTGAACTCTGAAGTCGCTTTCGACCGGCCTCATATGACAGCTTCCGCGTTTGAAATCAACTCGCCGAGACGAACGACAACCAACAAAGCATCCGACAAGCTCCGGCCCAGCTGGGGCCAGCCGCTGCATGGGCGCTGCCATCTTTCCTGTGACGTCACGTATTTGGTTTGGTCATGTGACGAGTGGTCAAATTTGCGTACAATGGCAGCCGCCTTATGGGGGTCACTTTCGAGTGCAGACCGGAACCCCGGTTTATCGCTCTAAGCCCCTCTACCTCGTTGTCGCTAACCCAAGCATGAACCGAAAAGACCCAATGACTTGCACTTTTGACGCTGATTCATTGGTTTCATTAGCTCGTAGCGTCAGTTGCTTCTGGGCTTAAACTGAAACAAAGTCTAGACCAATACGCGGCTCTGACATCATGCCTCTGCAGTGGCGCTGTCGTCGCCACGGCGCATGCGGAGAAGCTTCACCTCACGCCAATCTGGTTTCTGTACTCGCGCAGTGCCCGCACCTGATGTGGGGAAAAGCGTGCTTGTTTGTAAACAGCGTGTCGGTCTAGAGATAATAACGCCTATACTCCGTCTCACTATAACTCTAGAGTGCAGTCAAGGCTGCAGGGTAGAGAGAGAGTCCCGACCTGTTGAAGAGGAGGGCAAGGAGGAATGGGGGTGGGGGGGGGAGGGAATCCCAGCTCGTCCTAGCTCCTTTCCCTCCTCTTGAACAGGTTGGCATACGCTTTCTCCCCAGTAGCTTTGGCTGTACTGTAGAGTTCTGACAGAGTATGTGTAAGTGCGGAATTTTCCTGCGTCAACAGGAAAGGCAAGCGTAGGGTGCAGATTGGGCAGGACTCCGGCGTCATCGTTCCGATGGCCCTCCGAACAGGACTCGCGTTCTCACTGATTTGGCACGAGTTCGTGCTGAACACTGACGTAGGACTCGCGTCCAACCGGCGCCTCACGGTCGCCTCTTTGAGTGATGCAGCCAAATTCAGCACTTGGCTTTCTTATGCGGTAAGTGCTGGGGGTTGGACAGACTAATCTTTTCTTTGTTCCGAAGAATGAAGACGGGGGAAGAGTGCGAGAAGGAGAGGCTCACCGGAAGTGAAATAGGTGAGATGTATTCTAGCCCAATATTATTATTACCTCTAGACACGCAATGTTTCAATAGTATCGCATTCCAAGGCGTGCGATTGAACTGAAGTATCTATCAAATCAGTATATCTTATTGGATGTTTTTAGACCGTTCAAGCTAAGGTCAGAACAGATGGAAAACGAGATTCGTCAGCTGCGCAAAGCTAGTGAATTATGGTTAGTCAGAACTTGATAAGGGCCGTTAGTTTGCACTGGGCAAGTCTGGACGATGTATCTCGTATCTAGTTCACTTAAGGATGATGTCGGTTCGTTTTCTCAGTGGTGAACAAAAGCTGTCGTAAAGTGTATTCGCAGAGCATTCACGACCACCATTTTGAAGCCATCTGTCATGGCGTTAACGCCATGACACAAATCTAAAACAAAGCTAAACATTTCTGTAGGCCGGGGACATTTAGTTGCTCTATTTTCTACAAATTAAGGCAGTATTCGAACGCAGCTATGCGTTTGAAATAATGTGAATGCAACGTGATACAGGACGAATGATTGGCTACCCCAATCGTAATTCATATTTCAATGGGTAAAACAAAACTAAAATACAAACCCTTACCTGCAGCAAGCACCACTTTTCCTTTCAGTTTGGCATGAACTACGTATTGCGTCGCTTCTCCGTTTGCTTGAGGAAGCACAATGCGAATTCCATCAAATAAGACGGGACACTGAAGCGTATTTTCGTTTTGTTGCACTCGTGTGCTACACCATCCATCTCTTTTAAACCTGTAGTCTAAACCAAGAAAGACTGCAAAGGGATCGCTTCTGATATCAATGAAAGTGCCATCGTCGGACTGCAGGAATTCTCGCAAAAATATTCTTCGGCCATTCGGATTACGTTTGGCCAGCTCACACACAGTTTTGAGAAATACTTCGTCAAAAAAATATTCCAATTTGAGATCTGGTTGTGTCAATGCTCCTGGTGAAAAAAAAAAGTGCAGGGCTTTGAGAAACAATTTACTGAGCAACAAAGCGTCTGACAAAAAAAAAAAGGAGAAAGAAAACATATTTGGTGACGATATTGTCAATCGATTGAATTTGGTAATCAAGTTAGTAAACGCAATATTTATATGTATTCTTTATCAAGCAAGTAGGTAGATGTGTCGCGGCTCATTTATTAGGTTTATATATAAAAAAATACACTTGTAGACATGGTAGATCGGTTTAATATATTCTAATTCGGTGCTGTTGTTTCTTCTGGCTAAATAATAATAGCTAAGAGATGGTGCAATAATTTCCTATTCCGGCTTTAGGTTGTAGAACGTTGCGCTTAGTAAATTTATTCCTTGTGAAATACGCCAGCTGATTGAACGTGATCAGAAAAGCGGCAGTAATCGCCGGGTTTGAATGAAAAATTGTAGCAAGTGTAGTTGTTAGTAAAATATAAAATACAAGATTAATATTTTTCTTCACTTTTAATACAATATAAGAGAAATGTAAAAAGCCAACAAAAACAAAAAGTACAGTGATATATCAGCGGACAGGTAAATTATATAGTTTGAGCGGTTCTGGACCTATCAAATGACTCAACGCAGGTATTCTTTTTAGAATTGTAAACAGAAAGTAAAAGTGAGGAAGTATTTTAAAACAACAATTTACTTAAAATCACCAGGCTTCTCCCAACAACTAACGGAACGTAATGTTTAGAACGTGTAACGAGCGCGACGTCGTTTTTATTTTATTTTTTTTTTAAATATAGGTCGTGTATTTTGTCTGACATAAAATAACGTAACGCTGCTTGAAAGAGCGCAATGTCAGCAAAAAGTAATGTTGTAAAATGCTGTCACTGAATAGAACGCAACTTCTAGTTGATAGAACTAGGCAGCAGTGCAGTGTTTACTTGTCAATTTAAATTACCGTCTTTTAGCCCCGTGACATGCATTGTTTTGCTAATATCTATTCGCCACATATTGCAGGGCGAGATACACAGAACCTAATTTGTATGTAATCCCGCCATTCCTTCCACAATGTAAATATTAGCCAATTTAAAACTTAGTAGGTGAAGGTCGTTGGTAATTAATAATAGGTGGTCAGGATGCTATGATAAAGGAACATCGTCAGATCTTTGCTGGGAGTAAAAAGGGTCAGGAAAGAGTGTGGAAAGACAATACAGTAAAACAATATTTTCCTACTTACCAGTGGCGTGATACTCGGAGATTATCCACAGGAAAATAAGGAATCTCATGGCTATGTACAGTCAATAACTATTTCGTTCGTAGGTTTTGAGTTCCAGTAGTTTTATACCTGGAAAAATATTCTTTCGCTAATATTCAGTTTCTTTTGAGTGCCAGCAAAAATGCTTTCCGATTGTTTTGATATAAATTATTGTGTTCACTATTGCACTAAATAAAAATTCAAGACCCCGGAAACAGTAGAAGTTTTAGATGTTCGCAATCAGAAAAATGATACCCATAACATAAAACTTTGGAAGAAGGCATGTAATGATCAGGGCACTATATGGGTATGAAGCGTAACGTTTTTATTTATTGATGTGCCGAGGCAATTTCACATGTGTCGCCGGAGTTGAACAGCCGAATTAACAAAGCTGAGGTAATTTCCACACTGTGGAGATTGCAGAAGGCTGGAGTGCCTAGATATTGATTTCTGGCTGCGCCTTGGTAGAGTGGCGACACTTTTGGAGGGATCAAGTGCCGCTTTTTCCTTGTTCCGGCCTTCCATTTGTCTACTGCGATTTGTTGACCTCGTATATTCGAGAGTTGTGGAACGGCTTGAGTCGAGCCAGCATGTGGCGGGGGATGGATTTCACGGTGACGTTAAATTTAACGGGGAGTGCCCGGGGGGGGGGGGGGGGGGGGGGGGGGGTGCCTAAAGGGATGCTGAACCGAAATGTGGGCTCCCAAAACAAGGCTGGAGCGACAGGCGGGGGGCACTGCAAAATCCCAAAACATCACTTATTCAGCGATATCTCTAACGGATGGCAGTATTTTCGTAAAAGAAGTGCGCGATTGAACACAGCCGATGAGGCTGGTGATCAGACGTGTGACGTCGTGGTTCTCATTCCCTCTATTCTTTGCTTCATTCCCATAAGCAGGTAGGTGACCCGAAGCGAGGAGGATGAAGCGAGGACGTTTTCTCTCATTCTCGACTGTTGAAAAGAATCGTCACGTCACATGCCTCGCTTGATTGCGCCCTTCTTTTTGAAAAATACGGCCATCCATTCGTGATATGTTCGAGTGATGTTTTGGAGTTCGTAGCGTCCCATTCAACGCGTCTGTGGCCTTATTTTGGGAAGTCAAAATTTCGGTTTAGTATCTATTTAACTAAGACCCATGTACTGCTTATGCAATTAACACTCACAAAGGCCTATTCCAAGTCAACCGGAGACATTTTAAGAGTCGCCTCACACCTAGCAGCCCTAGAAGTTTGCCAGCGCACGATTAACAACGTGACTGGTGGACTTTACGGCGTCGTCTGCTACCTCAACGACATTAATGTCACTGAAAGGACCACTGCTGAGCAGTTTCGCGATCTAGAACAGGTTCGCCAGCGGCTCCAATACTACGGCTGCTTTCTCATTAAAAAGGAAGGGAAAAAAAAACCGTTTTCATATGTAAGGAAAGTCCACTGGGGAGTTTTTTTACTGTTTGAAGCGAGAGCGGCGGTTTTGAGGAGGAGGACGTATACGGCTAAATTTCAGGAGATAGACATATTATGTGCTGCCTGCCATAATGAGAGCGAGACGCTAGAGCCCTTGGTTTTGAAGTGCACGGGGCTTTGCCCTGCGCTCCCTGAATGGGTAACGGATCTGGCCGGGGCCCTAAGGTTTGCTGGCAATGAGGGAAGGACGGACGAGAAAAGGATTGCAGTCACAAAGGGGCGATCAGAAGATTAAGGGAAATTATCTAAAAAAATTGAATGAGCACAACTACTAGAACAGCTGAGGACACGCAGGACGGAGGAACATTAAGACACCCTTCCGCGTGGCTCCGGCTAAACGTCTTAACACTGCAGTGGGACAGGTTCTGGGGTGACGCCGACAAGGTTTGACCAGTGAAAAACTGGTGACTCCCTCCCTGGGGGGAAGGGGCGGGGGGATGTTTTTTAGTTGTTTTGCCTGATCCCCCGAAAGTCATCCTGATGATATCCGACGCCGCCTAGTGATAGTATTGGCTTCATAGGGCGGGAGAAATCATGTGTTTTTCTTTTTAGGCTTAGTCTAGGTGGCACAAGCTACCGTCCGTTACGAAGGGTGTAGTCATTAATATTCATCCATCCATCAATTCAGCAGGTTGAATACCTCGTGTCCGACGGTTTTACACCTTCCACTAAAAAAATGTGTGAGGTAGTCCAAATATGCCCGAGCCCCCAAAAATATCGGGTAGCTAAGACATCTGCTCGGCATGATGCACAATAACAACAAAGCAGCTCTAAGATGCGCGTGGACCTCTTCGTGTTTATATGAAAAAAATTACTTCTTTATCGCCCCCCCCCCCCCCCCCCCCAATTTCTTCCGATCCTGGCAAAAAGATTTGCGCCGCTCAACAAGCTATGGACATTTTTCACATAACCTCACACCGGCGTGCAACTAACGCACCTTCAACCCGGTGCAATTTTGGGTTGCCCGCTGACACAGGGTATGCAGCTGCGAAGGGTGTGAAAATGCTTAGAGACGGACGTCGTGCATGAGTTTGTTTGGTTAGTTCCGAGTGTTTCTTTGTACCGTATCATAATTTTCAAAGACCTGGGGTTGACTGGTTATCACTGTGTATTCGTCGGGGGAAGAAATAATTTTAATAAGCATAAGAACAATTGCGGAAAATATGCGGTGAGCATACAACCTGCAGCACGAATGTGGGTGCAATGTTACTGAGCGTGATATGTCCCATGTCCCCCAAGGGTCTTTATTTATTAGGTCACTTGATTGCGAACGTAAATCACGAGGTTTTCGTATTAGGTTCATCGTCACGTTTATGCTCACGACTACTTCGTCTAGAGAAAGCAGACTGATTCCAAACCGACGCCTGTGCTCCGATTAGTATATCACAGCAAGGTATGCTATTAATCCATGTCATCTGAAGGGTATAAAAACGTTTCGTGCCAGCACTCCAAATGCAGCTATCAAATGCCGAGAGCTGAGGTGCATTGGCTAGATTAGCCTGTTATTAATTCTAATTCATTCGTTGCGGAAACTTAATCAAAACACTCCACCGTCTTCGTCCTAGTTCTTTCGAGGAGGCAAGGTGATGTCCTGTCATTAGCCAGATGTTTCATTATCTCCTGTGTTATACAAGATGCCTTCGTGGTTCACGGACGAAGTTTGACGAAGTTACCAGAGATAGCAACGGACATCGCCATAACAAGTGTCAGGCCCTGTTATACTCCAGTACAACAGTACCTTGATAAAGGCTGGTCTGAAGATGACAGACTTTTACCACGGGCCGTTTTATAGACACCGGTCCGAGTTAGCCATCCTAAACAGCTGCAATTTATAAAAATCGCGAGCATTGGTTACACACCAGATCTGTCAAAGCGTCTTAGACTGTACTTATGAAGAACACGCGGGGCAAACCAAGATGAAGATGCTGGCACGTTCATGTTTGAAGGCAACATATGGACAAAGAAATTGACTTGCAGACGTAGAAATGCGTGCGTTGCAGCAGTTTCTGACGACAAGCCATAAGTTCCTCTTCATCTTTAAGAATCTCCAGGACGACCGTAGTACATAGTTCGCTTATTTCCCGAAACATAATCAGCAGAGCTCCCTGATTTTCATCGATGCTTTCAGCAAATGGCCCAAAGTTGTTGAAATTATGATGGTGATTGAGGTTTTATGATGCAAGAGCAACTTAGGCCATATTGCGCCAAAACTAAGGTTTTTGCAAGGAGCTTAGAGATCTACTGCAATCTATACGGATCCGATCGAGAAAAGCAAACCCTACTTTTCGGCCCGCGTAAAAAAACTACGCATCGCAGAACGCTCAAACTCCGCCAGAATGTAACCCTAGCGGTTCAAGCAAGATGCCGAAGTTTCAGAACATGAGCCTACCTGGATCAAAAGATAAAAGAAAAAAAAACGAGAAATCTCTACGGGGAGGCTCCGACCACGGAGAGACGCAGATGGAGACCGTCTGCTTTGCGTTGCATCGCATAGGTGGCGCCACCACCTATGCGGGTTGGCGGGTTATCACGGGCATGTGCCAGGCTTGGCGGCAAATTCGGGATTGTTCTCTATCATTTCTGAAGTTTCACTTACGCACTGCTTTTCACTGCAACAGAAGTAAAGATTACACGCTCTAATTTGTGATACTTCGGTGCAGTTGCTCAGGCATAACATTTCTTCATGCTAATTATTTTAGCAGATGTCGTCTGTTTTGCTCTTTGCAAACCCGAATACCGGTTCTACCGTTGACCACTTTTAATCTCTACCGTGTTTCGCTGCACTTTCCTGCCTGATGAGGCAATTAACCCAAAAGCAACGCGCGGACGTCGTGGTTTGGTATTTAAAGCGCAGAAGCTTTAAGGATGCTCGCCGCCGATACCGTCGAGTGCACCGTTCCAGGCCGCCGTCAAAAAGAACCATCTGGAAGTGGGCCCAGCGTTTTGGCGCAGTGGGCAGCGTCGCGAACAAGAAGCACGTCTTCGCCAGCATGCCAGAGAAAGAGCAGCTCGCGTACGGGATCACGGGTGCTTTCGAAGCGTACCCGCACCTATCCACGAAGGGAGCGGCAAGTTTGTTTGGAGTTTCAGATTACACTGTGCGCCGGATTCTTCGCCGACACAACCTGCATGCTTACAAGGTTCACGTTCTCCACGAGCTGAAGCCTGAAGACTATGAAAGACGGCTCGATTTTTGCCGCGAAGAGATCCTAAGGATCGCGGCCAACCCCTCCCATCTGGACTTCCTTCTGTTCTCGGACGAGGCCGTCTTTCACTTCGACGAAAAAGTCAACGCTCAGAACTGCCGGTACTGGAGCAACGGCAACCCACACTGGACAATGGAGAAGTCTCAGTACTCTCCCAAGGTAACTGTCTGGTGCGGGATCTGGAGGGAGGGTGTTGTTGGGCCTTTTTTTTCGATGAGTCTGTGACGGGCAGAAGTTATCTGCGCATGTTGAAGGAGGACTTTCTTCGCGAGCTCGAGGCCCTCCACATGCGACGACAAGTTTGCGTATTCATGCAAGATGGAGCGCCCCCGCACTGGTGAGCCTCCGTCAGGAAATGGTT